GGGAGGGAATGGCCGGGTTTTTGCTCCAGGGCCCAGAGGGCTGCTCCCCATCACAGTGTGTTCAGGCATCTTTTCTGCATCTTTAGAGCACTTTCATGGCCATTCTCTTGGTGTCTGCTTCACAACAGCCCTGCATGGTAGGCCAGTGGGGTTACTCCTCCACTGCCACCACTACCACCACCTACTCATTGTAACCCTTCTCCACAGCTCTTTTGCTGCGGTGGTCCAAGAAGGGGGGCCTCCGCTATGAGGGGAAGGGATGGGAGGCGAAGACCTTTGTGGGAGGAGATCCTGTGAGATCTGATTTCCTCCCCCCACCCCGCCCAGTATCACAGTGCTCTTATGCAGCTTCCTTTGACCAGGGGCAGGGGGGGCAGGAATTTTCCTGCCAGCTCACAAATGCATTAATGAGAAGGAGGGAAGACTCTGGCTGGTCAGATTCTCAAGCGCCCGAATGTTTTGGCCACCCCTGCTTGTGGGGAAAGGTTGGCACTTGATGAGTGAGCAGTTCAGTCGCCAAGAGAGGTGCACCTCTGAGCGTAGGCAGAGTGCATTTGTCCCCCTTCTGGGTTGCTGCCTTCAGCCCTCCACATCTGCCAGGGGTTTTTGGGCAGGTGGACGCCGGACTCTCCTCCTTCCCATCTGAGACCTTCCCAGCTTCTGTGGTGGTTTCAAGCCCTGCCTTGCCCTCCCCGCCTCCCCCAGGAATGAAGGGGTCTTGGCAGGAGTGGGGCAAGCGGGCAGAGGGGAAGCAGTGGCTCCGAACCTGTTGTAAAACTGGAAGCAACTGGAAATCCCTTTGGGGGGGAGGGGAGGCAAAGGGCACCTGGTTTGAAAGGAGACCGGCTGTTCTTGAAGGCTTCACAGGATGACCGCTTGCCTTTCATTGTTCTTGTTGACCCCCCCCCCAAAAAGGAGTGTGTTGAGCTCTCTGTTGCTGGGGGCCGGGATGTGGCCTGCGCCCTTCCTCGCCTTGCTTTGCGTAACCCCACTGAGTGGCAGAGGATCACACCCTGCCTACGTTGACCTCCAGAGGTGGCTTTGTGGGGAGGCAGCGTAGATTTTTATGCCACTCTCTCTGCATCCCCCAATTCCTCCCATTCCTCCCACCCCCTCTTGGCAGACTCTCTCCTCCACCTGTCGGACAGCAAGCACCTGGCGGTGTACCACAAGGGCCGCTTCTACAAGGTGTGGCTCTACCACGCCGGGCAGCTGCTGTCGCCTCGTGACCTGGAGTTGCAGTTTCAGCGCATCCTGGACGACCCTTCGCCGCCACAGCCTGGAGAGCTGAAGCTGGCCGCCCTGACCGCTGGGGAGAGGTGAGCCTTTGGGGGAAGGGGCCCAGGTGGCATGCGGGGGGGTTGGTGGTGGCTGGAGAGGATGGCTGGCCAAGTGGACGAAGCCCACAAGGAGGAGCCGGTATCGCTGTGCCCCAGCAGGGATGGGTGTGTGGATCCGTGCGTCCCTGCGTCTTTGAGTGTCAGAGAGGAGCTGGAGGAGGCAGGCAGAGGGAAGGCCATCATTTTTTTTCTTCAGCTGGAAAGGTTTTAAAGTGTCCTGCAAGGAAACAAACCGATTTCAGAACAACCTATCATAGCAAAAGGGTTGATAAAACTACAATTTCAGCAAGGGAACACAACCAATTAAACCCATGCAAGGAAGCACAAGAAAAGGAAAAAATAAAAACAGACCGTAGGAAGAGTGTGTGTAGGAGAACCTGACTAAGGAAGTGCCCCCCCCTCCCCGTTTATGGGGTGGGAGGCATCCAGCCCTTCTGGCCTGGGTTCAGCCTTCTGCCTTTCTCCTTTGCCCTCCCTCCGGCTGGCTGGCTGGGGTTCCCAGGCGCCCCTGGGCCGAAGCCCGTGCAGCGTATTTCAGCCAAGGGAGGAACAAGGCCTCGCTGGACTGCATCGAGCGGGCCGCCTTCTTCTTGACCCTGGACGAGGAGGCCCACGGCTTGGACCAAGGCCAGGAGGACAGCCTGGACCTGTATGCCAAGAGCCTCCTGCACGGCCACTGCTATGACCGGTAAGGGCGGCCGGGACGGGGCCACGGGTTGGGACGTGGCAGGTCCAGCCTCGCACGTCGATCCTGCGGTGTCTGACGCTCTCTTTGCAGGTGGTTTGATAAGTCCTTCTCGCTGGTGGTGTATCGCAATGGCAAACTGGGGGCCAACGCCGAGCACTCGTGGGCCGATGCCCCCATCATTGGGCACCTCTGGGAGGTGAGCACCGTTCCCGCCGCCCGCGCACGCAGGCAGCCTTCCTGGGAGGGTCTGCCCCCTTTTTTGGAGCAGAGGAGGAGCCGAGCCCTCGCCCCTGGCCTCACGCCTTTGTCGTCCTCTCCCCAGTTCATGCTGGCCACGGACCACTTCCAGTTGGGGTACTGTAGCGACGGGCACTGCCATGGGGTGCCCAACACAGCCCTGCCTCCACCACAGCGCTTGGCGTGGGACATCAATGAGGAGGTACGTTCTCCATCCGTTTCTCCTGTGCCCGACAGCGTGCCCGGGGCTTTGCCCGAGGTTCCAGGGTCTCGGTCAAAGCCCAGAAGGCGTCTTCTCTTGTCATGGTGGAGGGACAGAAGCGTGGCTTCTGTGGCTAGTAGCAGGGAAAGGTGCCCCCTTTTTCTCCTTTCCCACTTCCATCCTCTTTTTTCCTCCTTCCGGGTCGGAGATTCTTTGGCGCCAGGCTGGGATTGGGGGCTCACAGCCGACTCACTTGGTTGGCGGTGGCAACCTTGTTGCAATGAGAGGAGGAGGAGGAGGAGCGCCGAGGGCTGGGCGGTGGCAGCCTTGTTGTCATGAGAGGAGGAGGAGGAGGAGGAGGAGCGCCGAGGGCTGAGGCCGGCTGGGCCCTGCCATCTGGGGGTGCCAGTGTGGGGCTGGGGTGGGGATGCCCCGTGGCCCTCTCTTCCTGACTCCTTCCGTGCAGTGCTGGCAGGCGATCGAGGCATCCTACGGCGTGGCCAAGGCTCTTGCGGACGACGTGGATTTCTGCTGCTTCCGATTCACCGAATTTGGCAAAGGGCGCATCAAGAAATGCCGGACCAGCCCCGACAGCTTCATCCAGATTGCCCTGCAGCTGGCGCACTTCCGGGTGAGTGGCGCCGTAGCGGAGACGAGGAGCCTGACCTGAGAGGAAAGACGTCAGCCACATGGGCGAGGGGGGAGGAGGGAATGGACCCCCGGGGGGCCTTCTCTGGTGGCACACTTCCCCCCAGCAGCCGAGGGGAGAGGTGGGGATGGGCGAGGGGGTGTCTTCCTCCTCCTGTGGCCAGCCTTCCGTGCCTCTCCTCCCCACAGGACAAAGGGTGCTTCTGCCTCACCTACGAAGCGTCCATGACGCGGCTGTTCCGGGAAGGCAGGACAGAGACGGTGCGATCCTGCACCAGCGAGTCGACGGCCTTTGTGCGCAGCATGATGAACCCCAACTGTAGTGTGAGTTCTTGGGGGGGGTCAGTTGCCAGCCTACCCCTTCTGCAGCCCCCCACCCTGGTTTGCACCTCCCGTTGCTGCCTTTCCCTCCCCCCGTGCAATTTTTCATCTCTGCTGCCCCCACTTTTTTCTCACTTTTTCCCCTTCTGCTGCTTATATCTTGTGGATCATGAGGGGGGCAAGCAAGAGGCGAAACCCACTCTTGCCCGGGAAGGTCTGTGGGGCCCCTAAATGGCGGGCACATGAAAGAGACAAGAAACTGAACATCCTTCGTCCCGTCTCTCCCTTGGGAGCCTGAGTGGCCTGAACCCCACTCCAGCCCAGCTGTTCTGCAGCTGGAGGTCATGCCGCTGACCTCCAGCTGACTTGCCAAATGCAACTGGATTTGGGCAGGTCTGGTGGCAACTTGAGTTTGATGGGCAGACAAAACTGTGAAGAAGAAGCTGGTGGATGAAGTCCCAAAGTGGGTCGCAAGTGTAAGACGAAGCCCCCCCCCCAACCTGGTCTCTGTCCCCCATCAAGTGGTCTTGGATGCCTCTCCTTCCAAATGATCTCCCAGGGAAGCCCACAGTGGGGAGACAGGCAGTCAAGCTGAGCCAGGCGAAATGGGGCACAGGAGGAAGGCAGCCTTCGGGAGAGGCTTGGTATGGAAGTGGGAGAGCAGGGGCCAGAGCTTGGTGGGATGGCACCCCCACACACACAGTTTTGCATGGAAAAGGGTGCCAGTTCAATCCCCTGCCGGGTAAGGAAAGGCAGCCGGAAGCCCTGGAAAGCAGCCAGAACTGCTGCCCGTCAGATCTAGCGAGACTGTGATGGAGAGACCAAGCATTGGTATCCAGGAAGGGCTAACAAGCCCCCTCATGTCTTTGGATAGGAGGGGGTGCAAGGTTTGCCCCTTGAGGACGGACTGGGTCTTGGAGGGAGGGTGCTGGGTGGGGGAAAGCGCCCAGTCTCCAGTCCAGTCAAGACCTCCAAGGCATCCTGCACTGGGAGGGTCCCTCACCCTCATGGTCTTGCTTCTCCCCCCTCCCCGCCCCCCCAATCCCCTCCCGGCAGCCCTCGGAGTGCCTGCAGCTGTTCAAAGTGGCCGCCGAGAAGCACCAGCACATGTACCGGCTGGCCATGACTGGCTCCGGCATTGACCGGCACCTCTTCTGCCTCTACGTGGTCTCCCGCTACCTGGGAGTTGACTCGCCCTTCCTTGCCAAGGTGACGTAGCCTCGACGTTGCTCGGCTGCCCAGGTGGACGGGGCAGGGAGGGCGCCCTAAGTGGGGGCCCTCGGGGTCTCTTGCGCACGGTGGTTTGGGGGGGGGTCAGCTGCTTTGCGAGGGACATAGCACTCACCCTGTCTCTTCCACTCTCCCCTCCACCCCCCCACCCCGCAGGTGCTTTCTGAGCCCTGGCGCCTCTCCACCAGCCAGACACCCCAGCAGCAGATCAAAATGTTCGACCTGGAGGTTAATCCAGAATGTGCGTCCAGCGGCGGGGGCTTTGGCCCGGTGAGTGTCGTGCCCGGGGCCCTTGGTGACTGGCTGAGCCCAGGACAGTGACGCCCGGTACCTTTGCCAACAGGCCCACAAAGCCAGAGACGGCAGCGAAAGGGTAGGGGGAAGGGTGGGATGAGAGAGAAGGGAGGGCCGCCCTGGGAGGGGCTGCGGAGAAGAGCCCCTTGGCTGGCCCAGGAGGTCCAGCGGAGGCATCAGGAGCAGCGTGGAGAAATCCATGCTTGGAAAGCTCCTTGGCCATGTTGGGTGGGGGCATTTGGAGGAGGGGGCAAAGGCTGTGTCCTAAATCAAAATGTTCCCAAGCCATGGGACAGGGAGGACCCAGCAGAGCATGGGAGACAGCTTGGGAGTTGGGGGCGTGGGGGCTCCCTCTCTCCCGTTTGGGTGCCCTTGGCCCTTCATCCCCTCCCCTCCCCTCCAGTTGAGGTCTCGGGAATGCTTCTCCTTGGGCTCCAGGCAAAGGGGGCCTCGCGGGTCCAGCCTTTGCTGCTCATTTAGCCTTTGGAAAAGGAGACAGAGGGGAGATCATAGGATCACACGTTTCCAGTCCTTGGAAGGCTGTCCTGCAGAGGAGGGGCAGGACCTGTTCTCCGTCATTCCAGAGGGCAGGACACGTCATCAGGGGCTCAAGCGACAGGAGGCTGAACCTCAGGAAAAACCTCTTAGCTGTTAGAGCAGTACGACAATGAACTAGTGAAGGGGTGGGGAGGGCTCCCCTGGTGGAGGCCTTCAAGAGATATTTAGGCAACCCTCGGTCGGATCTGCTTGGATTGGGATTCCCGCCTTGAGCAGGGGGTTGGGCTCGATGACCTCAGAGGCCCCTTCCAGCGCTACCATTCCACCATTCTGTGCTTCCGGCCCTGGCCATCCGGATGAGCCTCTGGACGGCCTTCCTGGACGATAAGAGGAGGGCGCGGTGGTTTCCCAGGGACAGGGCCTGAGAGGCCGATGCAGAAAGAGGCCACCATCCATCCCTTGGTGGCCTCTCTTGCCCACTGCTGCCCAGCCCTCCCTCGGGTTCCTCTTCCCTGCCTGGGAAGGGGGCCCCCATTTCGACGACTTCCTCCCTCCGTTTGCCGTGGCCAGGCTTTCTCCACCAACGCCCACCAGCCTGACGGCCACTCTCTCTCTCCCCACCCCCCCACAGGTGGCCGACGATGGCTACGGGGTCTCCTACATCATCGCTGGTGAGAACCTGATCACTTTCCACATCTCCAGCAAGTTCTCCAGCCCAGAAACGGTGAGCAGGCACAACCGGGAGGGAGGGGGGAAGATGTTGTCAATTTTTTAACTGGGGGGGCTGGAGGGCACCTTTGGACCATGGGAGGGGGGCTGCTCTTTGCCCTGCCCTTTTGTCTCGGTCGTGTTCCTTTCCTGTGTCCTCCCCAACCCCCCCGTACTCCCCGGGACCTCACGCAGCACTTTTGAAATGAACGGATCGGGTCAGGTGAGGACTCTGGAGACCTGGATTCAAATCCCCGCTTTGCCTCGGAAACTCCCTGAGGGATGGCCGTGAGAAGCCCTGCTGGGATGTCTCACGTGCCTTGGGAAGCCTATCAGACCCCCAGGCAGCTCTCTCTCTTTGCCCACAGAAGAGGGAGACGGGCCCAGGGATCCTGCCAGGGCCGCCTGCGCCCTTGGCCGGAGCTCTGAGGGGTGGGTGTGGTGTGTCAGTGTGTGTGTGTGTGTGTGGGGGGAGCTGGATGGAGAAAAAAGTGTGGGGGGTCACACATCGCTGTGTGATGGCCGAGGGTTTCCAGTCCTCCTCCTCCTCTGCTTGCGCAGCTCCTGGATGAGATATTGATCATGAGGGGTTGGCTTGCCTTGTCAGTTTTTCTTGGCCTGCCCTCTGTTCTCTTCATGGGAGAACTCAGGCGTGGGGGAGGAGAGCCCCCCTCCTCCCCCCTTGCTTGATGATGACTCTGCTGTGGAGCTGCTGGTTGACCTCCTGGGCCAAGATTCCAGGTCCGGCGGCCCTTCCTGGTCACCCCAGACACCTCTCCCCCCCCCCAGCCTGGCCTGACTTGCCTCTCCGGTGGCCCCTGATGCGCTCTGAGGGGAGTGGTGGGTGAGGGCAAGCCGTAGAAAGCTCCTCTCAGCTGGGGAGGGGAGGGGAGGGGAGGGGGGCAGCTTGGCGTCTGAGCCCTTGGTTTGGATGCACACCCCATGCCCAGTCCCCAGGGGGTGGCAGCGTCTCCAGGGGAGGCCGGGGAGACACACCTGCGCGCACCCCCTTCAAGCGGTGTGCTCCTTCAGACCCTCTGCCGCCACCGCCAATCCGTGTTGGCGACGCACTCAGCTGGGGAGGGGAGGGGAGGGGAGGGGGGCAGCTTGGCGTCTGAGCCCTTGGTTTGGATGCACACCCCATGCCCAGTCCCCAGGGGGTGGCAGCGTCTCCAGGGGAGGCCGGGGAGACACACCTGCGCGCACCCCCTTCAAGCGGTGTGCTCCTTCAGACCCTCTGCCGCCACCGCCAATCCGTGTTGGCGACGCAGGGCCAGAGGGCCAGAGGGTCTCTTGATGGGTTGCCCGCCCCACCCTGAACAGGTCCGATCTCCACCCCACAGGATTCCAGGCGTTTTGGGAAGAACATCCACCAGGCCCTGCTGGACATTGCCGCCTTGTTCTGTGTACCGCCCAGAAAAATGGCCAACTGAATTTCGACCGGGCTGCCTGTGAGGACGGGAGAAGGGACCCTCCGCCGCGAGCCCACCAGGATGCCAGCCAGAAGGAAGCCACGTCCTGGCGGTCGGGCTGGCCCCTTCTCCTGGCAGATCATGTGGGGAGATGTTTCAGGGCCTGTGCAAACACAAACACACCCATCCCTGTCTAGCGGTGGCTTTTGGTGCCAGCACGCCCAGCCCAGCCCAGCCCGGCCCTGCCCAGAGGTGGACACCAGCAGGACCCAAGCGCTGGGCAGTGACGGACGCCATGCCAGAGGTGGGCGTCCCTGGGCTCTTCACTCATAAAAGAGGATCAGTTTTGGATGCGTGTGGAAGTGGCCTTGATTTCAGAGTCAGTCCTTGGGGGTGCCTTTTTTTGAAGGAGAAGGGATGCGGAGGGGAGCCCAGGAAGAGAAGGGGCCACCCCTTGG